TTGCCCTAGACTTCCCAGTGTACCCCTCTACAAATCTGATTGATCTAGTCAAGAGGCTACCACAAAAAGGCACATCATAGTCTAGAGAACGGGAATTCTATGTACCCTTGATTTGTTTTCCTCCGTGTATAGTTGAGCTAAATTGGATTGTAGTTGTCATCTAGGAGACTTTGCCAATTCCAAAGCTTGACACAATTAGCACAAAAACGCTTACAGACAGGAGCATCTAGAAGACCTCCCTTTCTTTTAGTGATCTCTCTTGTATTTGTATTATGAGTTTCTCACCTCTCATGATGGAGAAATCAGATAATTCTAGGATCGTAGATTCAGAGCTGTAAGACACCTTAAAGGCTATTTACTACAATCTCCTCATTTTACATAAGCCTGTACATATAAGAGCTGTAATATCTTCCAAGGAATCTTACATGATTCCAACACCTTGTTGGAGTGCTCAAGATGTTTTACTGAGTCAAATGTGTGTGTGTGTGTGTATGTGTGTGTGTGTGTGTGTGTGTGTGTGCGCTTAACTGTCAACAAAAATAAAAACCTATGGAATGACTTTGTATTCTCTATAGCCTCGAGTCAAATATGCCAACATAAAGATTTGGCATATGGGGGAATAGCACAGTAGAAAGCATGCTGCTCTGGATATGCTATTTTATATCTATGTGACCTATGTAACCTTTCCACGACTTAATGAATCATCTTTAAAATGAGGATGTATCGGACAAGATGACCTCCAACTCTAAATTTATGATCTCATGTAGTCTATTTCAGAATATCATTTGCAAATGTTTCCCTTTACAAACCAGCGCTGCCCTTAGCTGCCAAATATGCTTGGAAAGAAAATCAGGTGTTTGCTGACTAATGTTGTTTCTAGGTCTTTTGATCTCCATGTTGTGATTACTGATTTATTATTTTTTTAATTTTTTTTTGTAAATTTTCAAAATATATTTCTTCCTCCTCCTGTATTTTGCAAGCCATGCCTTGTAACAAAAATTCTTTTAAAATGTGAGTGATTTATAGTCATTAAATTTCCTTAAGAAATACTGGCAGTCTGTGCCAATGTCTGTTATTATATCCATTTCTCATTTTTTATGCCAACAGGTCAGTTTGAAGTTTCCTTAATTGTCAGGCTTATTCTTTTTTCTAATTTTGGATTCATTTTGATATTTGATCTAACAATTCAATAGTCTGATGGCATCCAGAAAACGGATTCAGAAATGGTCCCATACTATTTCGTCACTTCTTGTCTGTTAGAATACAACCAATTTCATTTGTTGTGATATTGAGTGATTTCAAACTCTCTTACTGAAGAAAGCGATCAGGATGAATACGTGTAAAGCATCTATATAACTTATAAATCATTGGCATTCATCAGTCAGCCGGTTAACATTAGCATTTATTAAGCATCTATTATGTACCTCATTTCTTTCTCTATAATCATGTTTTCTAACACATTTTAAACTCCAGAAGTCTAACCCTGTGCTGAAGTCTTTGATGTTCACATATATGATGATTTAATTTGGAGGTTATTAAGGGCTTCCTTTCATTCTTCCCCTTCTTTCTCCTCTCTTACTGGAATCACTACATAAGCAGCAAGTATTTTTTATGGTGCTCTTTCTGTAAATAATGATCATGAGCACTACAATATACAGTAACCAACTATCCCAAATAATAATTAATAATAATTAAAGATGGCCCTGGGTTCTTGAAGGTCACACCAGCAAAGCAAAATTTCCATAAAGCACCCCCATATCAGGAAGGTTTTGAGTACAGAGCTGGTAACAGCAATCCTCATTTCAACAATCAGCTTAGATAATCACCGAGAAACACATCAACTGTAGGCAGGCCATCTAGTGATGAAACTCTTCTGGCCATGGCAACCCATGGAAAAGGGAAAAATAAGAAATGGCCTTCAGTCTTGTACTACTCCCTCTGCTTCTTTAAGGATGGCAGCACAATATTTGGAAAAGGAGCAGAGGATGTTAAGAGTCACAGAGTTTTTTGATCGTCAACAAACTTTGACTATTGGTACTCGAGGTTGGATCCTTCTCCAGTGATTAATGAGTAGACATATTGTCAGAGAAGCTGAGTCATATCAAAGACGATTTTTTTTTCTGTAAATGAAACATATGGAAGAAGGAAATTACAGGTAACTGGAAGGATAACTCACAGGTACTGCATAGAGAAGCAAAGAAAAGAATTGGGAAGGTGAATTTTATCACATACCCAGAAGGTACAAGACATGTTATTTCATGAGACATTTGAACATCATATATTACAGTGCTAATGTTATATATTTACAGAAAGGCCACCATGAAAATAATTGTGCACTAACATTAGTGGTTGATGACTAAGTAGTAGAAAAATTATGTGAAGTACTTCATAAGTCCTTCTAAATCATATCAACATACACTCTGACTCTTGGTTACTTTGATGCAAAGGTGGCAAATGTGAGGATAAAAAGAACTATATAACAAAACATGGCCTAGAAGAAAGAAATGAGAAGTTAAGCTTGTAATTTATGTAGAAATCTTGTGTCTTCGTGTAATGAGCATTTTATTTTAAAAAATTGGTAGGGATAGGCTGTGGTGAGTACCAAACATTGCAAAAAAAGGGAAAAAGAAAAAAATCAACTACATTTTAAAAGACAAAAAAAAATACTTATAAGTGCAGGAGTTACACCATAGTCTGTCATCTATGTACAGTCAGACCACTGATTTGTTCAAACAAAGATCAGAATTTGTAATCATGAAGAGAAAATAGTCATGGAAAATAAATATGGCCTACAATTGAAGGCAGTTAGGTGATATAGTGGTGGACTTGGAGTAAGGAAGACCTGAGTTCAAATACAGCCTCAGACACTAGCTCTGTGACCTTAGGCAAGTCACTTACTTTCTCTATACCTCAGTTTCCTCATCTGTGACATAAGGATAATAATAGCACCTACATTACAATGTTGTTGAGAATATGAAATGAGACAATATAAAAAAGTTTCTTATTATTCTTGTTAATTATTATTATTAGGCTTTAGTCTTGAATTATTTAAACAAATCATGGAAAATCAAAAATGGGAAATGCACAATATAAATAACATAATTTCATCCAGAAGTTAAACCAGCATAAATTAATTGCTGCAACAAGGAGACCAAAAGAGTTCAGAAATTGCCTTATTCAGGAAGTACTTTACTTAACTGCCGGAAGGAGAGAGACGACTGCCAAAGGTAACATTATGGTCCCTGAGGCGCTAACAAAGGAAGTAGAAAAGGCACTATAGAGAACAAAGGTGGGAAAAGTTACTAGATTTGATCAAGTCTATTCAGAGGCAATCCAGGATGGAAATGATACAATTTCAAGTACATAGAAGGACTAATTCAAAAATTATTTAGAAGAGGGGAAGGTACTATAGGAATGGAAAAAAAATCTTGACCCTTTTTGATTTAAGAAGGGGGACAGGAAGAAGAAAACATTAATAACTACTACCTTGTGTGCCTTCTTTCTCATCTATACAAAAATCTTTAAGAGAATCATGAATAAAGAGCATATACCATAAAGGTATTAATAGGGAATAAGCTGGCTTTTGCAAATGTTATTCAACAACAGACCATATATTTACCTTCTGACAACTGAATGAAATATGGAGAAAATAAAAGATTTCATTGGGCTTATTGTTTGTTGATTACAAAAAAAAGATTTTAACTTTATAGAACAAGACATGACCTTATAGAACTCTTCCACAACAAGGTATCTCCCATCCATGTATTAAGATATATCAACAAAGTTAAGCTTATTCACTGACCCTTTAATAATAAATAGCAGGCAAGGGATTATGCTTGCCAAAAGTATGGGGGAGATTCAGCTAAGAATCCAAGTTGAGAAAGATTCCCTATGGCTGGTGGGTCCTCAACATGATCTCATTTGCAGATGACATTGTGCTGTCCTAGCCCCAAAACATTGCAGAGCCTCCTGGAATAGGTCTATAATCATTCAAAGGAGTGTGGTCCACCCAATCATGCCAAAAAGATCAAGTGAATGAAGCATATTTATTGCCCAGATTTTGACATGCTTCAAATGTACCTCCACTAGAGCTCGTTCAAAGTACCTACATGGTCAATTCTCAACACTTGCTCATCTAACTTTTGTGACTTTAAGTATTCACATGAATTTATTAATAACGTCATTTTCACTTTTGAATTGGCAAGTACACACATTCATGACTATGCTCAGTAGAGGAAAAAAAAGTGAGAGGTGGTAAGTCTGTGGAACAGCTAGCATCCTACTGGGCATTTCACTGATCTTGTTCACCTACCATTGTAAAGAGCTCTTCTCGCATTTGTTACATATTTTTATCATTTGCCTTTAAAATTCAAGTTTTGTGTTGCAATTATGCCCCCAAAGCATAGTGCAAGTCCTTGGGGCTCTAAGTTGATATCAAGACCTCATTAGTTTCAGTATTTTCCAACAGCAGCAGCTAAAGTCCCAGTAATCTCAGAGGATGACCAAGGTAAAGAGGTTTACAACAGTAGAGTAACATCCCCTCCCGCAACCATCTGACACAGTGGAAGGTAAAATTCAGGTTAAAAAATGTTTTCATTTTAAGAATTTTATTTGCTGTGCAGTATTTATGGTACTATAGATTTCACGTATTATGAAAAGTGAATATTGTTTGAAACCAATGTTGGGGTTTTTTTTGTTAAGTTGTTAGCAAAGAAGGGCATAGAATTCTAGGGAATTACTAGTGAGAAAAATATTTTGTATGTTACCAATTTTATTTTGTATACTGCACTTCATGGATTCTTTCATGGTTACTGAGTTCAGAAAAGTGCATATTATCAGAATTAACATTTTGTGGTAAAGAATTGTATGCAGAAAAGTGTATTTTCGGCGATCTCAAGTCAAAGATTACAGTTTTTGGAACTTGTGGGAACCTAACCCTCCATTTCCCATAGGTTCAGTGTATCAATATTCACAGTTTTTATTTTTGTACTGTTTTCTAGGAACATTATCCCCATGAAAGTTGAAGATTGTACATATGTCCAGGACAGACAATATGAATGGACAGTTACCTGGACTAAGATTTGAAAATGAGGACAAAAATCAAGCTAGATTGCTTTGGGGACATTTTGAAGCACCATAGCTGACCCCAGATTTCCCAAAACAGAAAAGATCTATCTTTTAATCCAAATATTTTAATGGTGTTGTATGTCAGCAAGATATGGAATTTTACTGATTTTGAAAAACAGAAGATAAGCATCATACAGAGGGACAAAGAAGAGGTAATAGCAGATGTGAGCAGGCCGCAACATCTAATCAATGAGCGTCACTGCAAAAAAAATAGAGATCAAGGATGTTATCAAAGAATTATATGGTAGATTCTGAGGAGAATAAGGGAAAACAGGTGGCTGGACGGACAAAGGACTTCACTGTACTCTGGTGATATTGAGAGAAAGAAAGGATGACCTTCAGCATGTGGAGGGAGGATCCCTTAGAAGGATTTTGATAAGTCTACATGTGGATGAGTTGCAATCTGCATCACTGGAGGAACTCCCAAACTGAAGAGATCACAAGTCCTTCTGAATATCTGCGTTCATTAGAAATAACACAGTATATAGAACTCCATGGACCTCATTTTAAAATCTAACTCTTTTTCTTAAAGCGAAATATTGGAGATTTAAGGTATACAATGAATTTATCCTTTCAAGAGCCACTGAGAAGATGTCCCTTTTGAGAAGATTTTAGGTAGTTTCTCAGCTTTCACATGGAATCAAATGTCCATAGCTGTCTAAAAGTTGAATGAATGGCACAGAAAGTCAGCAGGCCTCTTTCTGAAAATATTAAATATATGGTAAGAAAAAAAAAAAACAGCATTGGAGATGTGGTGTTAAAGTAAAATAACTTCTTACTCTCTGTTGATGAAGTTTAAATTATAAATGTTTGATCTCTAATGGAATGTAGTCAACTTTAGTCTTTTCTGTTCCCATCACTTCAATATTAGCTCTTTTGTTTTGAGGGGGGAGGGCGGGGAGAGAAGCTGTAGGGAATAGTTTTGGAGTTGAAGTCAAGAAGGCCTGGGTTCGAATCTTCCCTCAGGTACTTACTAGCTTCACCTCTGGGAGAATCTGTTTCTTCATCTACAAAATGCAGGTGATCATCCTAGTACCCATACTCCACATCACAGGGTGGCTGTAAGGAACAAGTTAGGGAGTGTATGTGAAGTGTTTTGCAAACCTTACAAGCCACATGAATATCCAGTGTTATTATATGCACTTTTGCACCATGAAGCATCATGAGAGGCACACCCACAACCCTACCTATCTCCCTAATGAAGGTAGTTATCTTTCTTATTTATAGGGATCTACAGATAGGTAGGCCAAGAAGTTTCAGAGGCCATAAATCAGCCTCCTAATTTGACATTAATAGCATTTCAAAGCAGTTTGCATTTGTACAGGACCACAAACAGATCCCCAGAGTGCTTAGCAAGAGAGAAGAATTCCAAGCAGGGTTCCTCAGCTATTCAGTCTTCCCATAACCAATTACTGTTGTCTCCAGAAAACTTCCTCTTTAATGTCTAGCCATCTGAGCCCATCCCACTGGCAATCATTTCCGTTTCTAAGCAAAAAATAATGTAGTGTTGATTCTGAGCCTGTTCACACGGTGAATTGGTTACAATGAGCATTTGGTAACATCTGTATTGAAGTCATGCATACCTTTAATATTACAATTGAAAAAAGTCTCACATTACTAATATAATTATATGGCAAAGCCCAAGGCAGTTTTTATGCAGGAAGGTTTGTTTCTTTTTTCCCCAAGCCAATTAATTCATCTATGAATTTATTTCTGGCGGAGGAAAAAGGTCTATTAATTTGGAATTTCAAAAGTAATTGTGGTAATTATCGTTGGGCGGCATCTTTTCATTGGGGAAACCCAATAGGAAGATGTCTATAGTAGCCAAAGATTTCTCTGCATGAGTGAGGCAGCTGGTGGGGACTTCTCTGATTGCTGGATAGACTCACCAATGGAAGAGCTTCTCTGAATCACAATCCCTTAAAGGTAAATGCCTCTCTATTAGGAAAGTGCACATTTGGGAGTCTTACAGCAGCATCCAGATACTAAAAGAGGAACAGGTTGTAACACAAGCTCAACAAATTAGAACGTGAAACACAATGGCCTCTATCCCTCACTCTGAGCACTAGCTAAGCCCTTCCCCCTGAGAACGCAAAAGAGCCTTAACATGCTTTGTGACTCATGTGCAGAGCTACCTTTTCCTTGACTAATCAGGGTCCAAACTGGGCATCTTCCATGTGACCATTCAGCAGGTTCAGAATGATGGATTAACGAACTTAATCTCAAAGAAAAGATTGTCCCTGTGGGATCTCCTAACAAGGCCACCTTTGCTGCCACCAAGTGGCTCAATTCATGCCTTCCTGATAACAGGAAGCCCAGTATTTACATAGCTCTTTAATTAGTGAAGCTCAGAGTTGTGCAGGCATTATCTAATTAACCTCCACAATAACTCAGTGAGGTAAGGGGAGGATTACCTATTATCCTCATTTCATAAAAGGGAATTTTAAGGAGCTGAGAGGATGGGTGGTTTCTTGAGCTCACATGATGATTCAGAGGTAAAACAAAGAATAGGATCCAGGAGTCTTATTCAGGTGATAAAAGCTGCATCTTGACTTCCCATAATGGCTCATTCTGGCGAGATGGTCCCAGAGTATGAGGATTAAAAGCAATGGAAAGTAGATGGATGTTCCATCTAGAGATACCCATAATCCTATCTCCCAGTTGGAGAAAGTGCTTTCCGTATTTGCCTAATGTGTTGCTCCAAAGCATTTTAGAAATAGAAGGAACCTTAAACATCATCTAATCCACCCCCCTCACTTAACACAGTAGACTATGAAGCCCAGAGAGGACAGATGACATGTATATGCTTTTGTAAATTCATTTCGTCTCACTAGCATGAAATTGACTTGTAGTTTCTCCTTACCTTATTAGAAATGTTATAATGCACATTTATACACAGAAAGCTCTTCCAGTGCCTAGCGCATCGCCTGGCACATAGTAGGAACTTAATTGAAATACTTAATGACTGAGAGAAACAGCATGGCAGTATGGTATAATGGACAGAGGGCTGGCTTTGGAGTCAGGAAGACCTGGATTCTTGCATTAACTGACTCATATTGGCTGTGGGACCCTGGAAAAATCACTTTTGGAGCTCTAGGCCTTAATCTAAGACTATGAGTTTCAGAGAAGCTGTCAGCCTTCGTTGATAGAGGGAGTTTTCTCAACCAAGAATTACGTATCAATGAAAGTCTGAGTCCAGTACACACACATATAAACATATATTTGTATACGTTATATGATATATATGTATACACCCGAGAGAGAGAAAGAGAGAGAGAGAGAGAGAGAGAGAGAGAGAGAGAGAGAGAGAGAGAGACTACATGATACAATGGATAGAGTGCTAGACCTGGAGTCAGGAAGACCTGAGTTAAAATCCTGCTTCAGATACCTATTAGCTGTGTGACCCTGGACAAGTCACTTAACTTCTGCTAGCCTCAGTTTTCTTACCTATAAAGTAGGAAAAATAATAGCACCTTTCTCAGAGTTTTTGTGAACATTAAATCTTAAAGTGTTATATAAATGCCAGTTATTATTATAAATTATTAAAATCTGGAGATACAACATGGTATAGTGAAAATATGGCTCTGTAGTCAGAAGAACTGAGTTCAAATGCTGCAGCTAATGCTTACTTCTCATGACTTTTTGCAAGTCTTTTAACGCCCTCAGCCTCAATTTCCTCTTCTGTAAAATCAGTGCATTGGACTAGATGTCTTCTAAAGTCCCTTCCAGCTCTTAATCTGTGATCCTATGGTCCCATGACTATCTGAACTTTTATCTGAACTTTATGCAAGACATCCTCCATGTAGCTCCCTTTTTTATGCCTTGATTGACATTACTAAGCAGAAGACTATTGAAAGAATTATCTCTTCAGCTGCATTCATCAAGAAATCTTGTATCATCTAAACATATGAATGAGAGAGAATTTGTCAAAGTATCCTCATCAAAACTGAATTTTGTTCTACCAAGTCAAATGCCATTTTGTAATCAATGAGCAAACATCATGATGTTATCCTGTATTCTCTGCATTTTTCAGACAGTTGTGTAACAACACAGGCGTGACCTACTGTGGAAAATGATTTGTGTTAACTTGCTTGTTTCCATCTCATGAGATATCTTAGATATCATTTTTATGAAGTTAACAAAGAAGGCAAATGAACTGGCAGCTGCTGCTGCCCTCTTTATTACCCTTGTGGGTAATATTGTCTATTCTTTTGGTATTTTTGTCTCCTTGAGACATCCCATAAAATGCACCCACAATGCTTTTAAAATCTGTCCTCCAATCAAGACATTGTTAGCGTGTGTTTGGACCAGTCCAGCTATTCTTACTGACTTCATCTTAAGTGAGAGTTTGGGACGTACGGTACTAAAGTCCAAATGTGCTGATTCCTTTGTCAGTGCTAATCAAAGGGGATACTCACAGACATACCAACAAATCCATTCCACTTTGCTCCTATTTGTCTTTGCATGTTTTGGGGACAGTTTCACTTTGTTGAGTTTTATGCTGAGTTTTACATAAATATATTCCTATTTTTAACACTGTTCACTAAAACACTTTTGCCCACAATCTTCCATTAGCTTCCTCTAGCTTTTTACAAATGAATTCGTATTTACCTCCTCTGTTGCCTTCTGTTGTTGTATCTCTCCTCTTGGCAATAAGGTCATTCACTTGCTGGAGAAGGAAGTGTGTGGGTTCTTTTGATTCCTTCATGTTGACTACTTTATACCAGCGATAACCAAGGCCAATAGATTTGCCTTTTTCCATTTCTCAATTTTTAGCACTGATGATTCATTTGAATGAGTCACATTTAAGCTGTTGTAATTATAGTATGTCATTTCATCTTTATCGAGTCTTCCAATCTGATGCTGATTTTGACCTTTGTTCTAGGCAGTCAATTGTCTCATGGCACAAAGAATTGAGAGGTATGATTTTAACCAATGATTTTCTATTAAGATATGGTCAATTTCATTTTTTTGTATGTGATGGAGTTTGGTGCTCACTATGTGTTAAGTACCATGTCCAGATATCTTCTGGAAGAAAATATGAATGATATGTAGATGTGAGCCTTCTGAGAAATCTACAGTTTTCATTTCTCAGATCTGAGCCATATCCTATCTGTCCTCCTTCCCTGTGGAACTTTCATGATGAAGTCACCAAGTGTTGATATATATATATATGTATATATATATATATGCTGATTTAATTTTAAGTATCTTGCCAGGTGTTTCATTGACTTTTTTTTTTTGCTTCATTTTGACTTTGAATGAATTGATGAATGAAAAACCATTCACAGCACGCTGTTATTTATGTGCATATACATAGGAAAAGTGAAACAGTCCCTGCTCTTAAGGAGATAACAGTCTAATTTAGTAAGATAGTACATAAAAGAAATTTAAGCTGTAGGGCAGATAGAAGGGCCCAGAAGTCCCAGGTGCTCAGTGGTGGGGTATACTGCAAGGTCCAGGACTACTTAGGGTATATTAGTAGATGACTGCGCCTGAGGGTCTGGAGTTGTAGAAGAAAGCTACAAATTAAGAGCTGGAGGACAGTAAGGTCCAGTAGCAGAGCTAAAAGTAAAACCTAGTGAACCTCCATCTTTTAATTTTGTGTTTTTGGTGAGGCAATGGGGTGAAGTGATTTGCCCAGGGTCACACAGCTAGTAAGTGTCAAGTGTCTGAGGCCAGATTTGAACTCA